TACCGGTACCCACTGGGTGCTGGCAGTCCATGAGTTTGGTCTTTGTGTTTGGCCTGCCAAAAGATTCGGCGGGCAACACGGGTGTCGAGGTATTTGTCGACCGGTTGAGCGAGATGGCTCACTTGGCGGCGGTGTCAGACACCATCGACGGAGTTGGTTCAGCAACGCTGTATGTAGACCGTGCTTTACGACGATACGGACTCTCAGAGTCGATTGTCTCTGAAATTGACCTCCGTTTCACGGGAACGGAGGTCGACTATCTTCAAGGAGCTCGGCGCCAAGTTGTATTTCAACAGCGGATCATCCGCAGGCCGATAATCAAATTGAAAGGGTGATTCGCGTCAACGAAGTCGTTCTTTGCAGCGTCTGCGCTGAGACGCCGAGGCGCTGGAGAGCAATGTTGCCACTTGTAGAGTTTGCACTGAACAATGCAGTGCATTCGTCTACCGGCTACACGCCTTTCTACATGAGCGAGCTGATTTACCCTCGCATCCCGTCGACGCCGCCATTTCATGGCTCAGGGCTTGGTGGGGGAGAAATAGTCGAACGGCTAGCTGATGTCAGCCTCGTCACCATCTGTAAACAAGTCGATGACTTCTTGTCTACCAGACTGAGTGTCCCACGACATTTTCGCGATGCGATGGCTGAAAGCCAAGACCTGCAGAAAGAATATGCAGATGAAAAAGGAAGAGGCAAAGTGGAAAGCCTTAAGATCGGGGACCTGGTTTCAATAATTATTTTTTGCCTACAAATGCAGCCGCTGCTTTCTATCGGGTGGAGCTTCGACCACGGTTTATTGGACCGGTTAAGGTTATGGCCAAACGGAGCCTGGCATATACGCTGAACCCTCCGAAACGGATGTGCACCCACCCGGTGATTTACGTGGGCTTGCTCAATCTGTACCGTGATCCTGCGCAAGTGAACGTGGAAGCGTTGGCGCCGGATCGGAACCCACGGGCCCTCGGCCCTCCAGAAGCTGAGCCAGCAATTGGTTCTGAACACGGAGTGCTACAACCTCCACCTCCAACGGCGCCAAGCGCTCCATCGTTGCGTGCAGCGACACATTCGCCTGTTCCACGGCTAGGAGTCGCTCCGACAGAGCTCGGTAGTCCTCAAGGCGAGGCAGCCGGCACACGACGTGCTTCGAATCCGCAAGAGCGTCCGCACAACTTCAGCATGACGCTCAGCGGAGCTCCGATCACGACGGACCTCTTCCTTAAGGGCTCGAAGAGCATCACGAGTCACTGGGCGGCGGTCGATCCTTTCGTCACCGACCGCGACCAACTCTTCTTGATGAGAACGGTGATGTCCACTATCACATGGAACGACTAGTGAGACGACATCGTCACCAGGGTCATACCCAATATCTGGTGAAGTGGCGGGTATATCACAACTCCGAAAACTCGGGGGAGTTTGAGACACCACTTCGGCAAGATTGCCCAGTTGCCGTGGACGATTTTGATCGGAAAGATCTGGACGTCCCGCGACATCAGACGCCTCGCGCTTCCCAGTAGTATCCAGGGAAGTAGAAGTGCCATGAGCCGAGCTCAAGCAGTGTCTTTGAGCTCTTGCGGTCGAAGAGACAGAGCCCGCAGGAGCATTAGTCGTTAGCCCATACGTCGCAGGGCGACAATACGGAGGAAGTCGACGGCGTGCCTTGCGTTTGGCAAACTCAAATCGTAGGTGTCGCTCCACACGCACGTTCACTTCCTTGTGGCTCAACTGTAGGTTGTACAGTGAGAAAAGCTTCCGGTGCCGTTGCGCTCATCGCTCAAAGAGCGCTTCGTCATCTGTAGCGCTTTCGCTAGGGACAAGCACTACAGCTATTGTCCGCATTGCGGGTACACAAGAGCCACCTCATTGCGCACGTAGAGGAGTGCGGTACGCTTCCAACGGAAGTTCTTGTGGAACCAAGAAACGAGCTCGAAGAGCTTTCCGTTCGGCAAACTCAGCTTCCGTAATGGCCGGGGACCCGATGATGTGGACGCGTAACGATTGAGTTACTGCGTCCTTCGCTTACACAGTGGGATCCGCTGGGCGGAATCCATATTCCACTCGAGGGTCAATGACCGGCCGTGGTAAAGCGCGCATCAAAGCCACCTTATGGGCAGCTTCTAGCTGCCGCCTCTGTTTCCCGTCGAGGTCATTAGTGATGACACCACGTCGCTCAGGTGACGAGAAGTCAGGGAACGGACATGGGGTCCGCAAGGCTCGAGCATGGCTTGTATCACGCTGCTGGTGCAGCTCGCCTTACTCGTCATCCCATGCGGGAAATGGGGTGTCAGATTCGTAGTCGACCAACTTCAAATCCTCAACGAGGTCGTTCGGGACTGATAGCGTGCGCTAAGCGCGACGCTTG